CATTTGGTGGGACATCAAAGGATAGTAATTCATTTCGAACTCCACAATCCACAGCAAACTGTCAATGCAGAGATCTATAGTCAGCAACTGGAATGTTTAAATAAAGCCTTTCATCAGAAACGCTCTTCACTCATCAATCGAAAAAGGTGCTTTTCCTCTCCACGACAATGCATGTCCACGTGTGGCACGTTTGACGCAACACAAGATTATGGAGTTGGGTTGGGAAGTTCTCCCCCACCCACCATATTCTCCAGATATGGCACCATCAGATTACCATATTTTTCGTTCGCTGCAACATCATCTTAATGGGAAAACGTATGCAAATGTGGAAGGTGTTAAATAGGACATCGACATGTTTTTGCTTCAAAGCCAAGTGATTTCTTTAATCAGGGCATTAACAACCTGATTGTAAGATGAAAAAGCATCATCGATATGAATGGAGACTACTTCATTTAATAATTTCTTTTTGTTTTGATATATAATACCTAATACAAACAAACTGAAGAAAAGGGAAGAACATTGATGTCAAACGAATACGCATCCTCATTCATCCTGATTTTGTGTGTGTGTGTGTGTATTCTAAGTATATCATTTTCGGATTCAGCGTACAGGAATTACTGTAGAACATTTAAAAATTTCAAGACAGTAAAACCGTCGCAGGCCTGTGTTATTATCTATCTTGTCACCTGACTCTGGAACGATTATATCCATGTTTTCATTAAACCGATAAGTTTCTATAAATGAACATATGGGACAAGCGTGGCCTAGTGATTAGTGTGTCAGATTGAAGATCAAAGAACGCTGGGTTCGAGACGTGATACAGTTAAACACACCATGCACTTTATTCGGTTTCAAAAGACGGTTAAGTAAAGGCTGCCGTTATCTTGGTCAGTAGTTCAAACTTGGGAACGGCTTTGCCTAAACTTTAAAATACCTCTAAGCTGGTAATTTACCCCACGTGTACACAAGGTGGCGTTAGGGTTCAAAATTCCAGTTTCATTTCATGAACATGTAAGCAGAAATCGAACGCAAAATACCTAGTTGCGTTTTGAACCGCTCGATTGAAATGGCGTATTAAACTTTCATAACCATATCTCGGTGTTTAGAATCTTTATAACGGATTGGGTCGAACGTATAATGTTTGATTAAGATGTTTCTTTTTATCACGTATTTCTGATAAGGAATTATAGTATAAGAACTTTCTGGTTCGGCGATATAAACGTTTGTGTGTGTGTGTGTTAAAGAACTGTTTATAATCATTTCTGTTTTCTAAGCCTTATTTCCGGTTTACCACAGAAATTGTTTTGGTAATTATGATCGTGTGTTTGCCATACTTTAAACCACAGTAAGTTGTCTCTAACGCTGTAGGATCGCGCCCAAAAGCAGAAGTTTAAACATGATCATGTAAAGGATCCGAGTAAACCAACACGACAAGCTTTTATTTTTGCAAATTTTGAACTAAATAACCGACATGACATTTATTTCTTCAGAAAATTTAATTAAAGAAATTTGCAGAGATATGTTGTTGTTTCTGTAAATATTATGCAGATAAAAAAAAAACAGTCTTGAAGCTGGCGTTACACAGTCGAGATGGCGCCAGTGGCACCGCGAAATTGGCGGTTCGGAGTGAAATCAAGACAAGCTTCAGTTCGTGATTCTCTAAATATTTTTGTAAAGTCCATTAATGTACGACGTCAACATTTAAACGTAATGTTTTCTTCTGTTAATATTATTCTTGTTTAATGCTAGTTTGTTTTTTTCTTTAAGCGATCTGTTCGCCTACTTGTGAAAATGGAGGAATTTGCAGGAAACCAAACAAATGTGCTTGCTCGCCCGGCTGGACCGGATCGACTTGCCAAACAGGTAACTTCAGTTCTATAAAGAACAATAAACGTTCTATACAAATTAAAGAATTACATTCAGCAGTGTAACGAAATGTTTTATATGTTTATAGTCTTAGTAAATAATAATTTACAAAGGCTAAGTCCATGTGCCAGATACTAATAGTGTGTGTATTGTAAAGTTAGAAAGTCTGGGCGTGGGCTAATTGTAGCGTGCCCAGAATGTGAACACGGGGATTGATAGTTGGCTTCCCGTAAACGCCAAAAATAAATAAATAAATGTGTATATATATATATATATGTATATATATTATAATATTATAACGCATTCCGCACTAATATTATGTATTTAAAGTTAGAAAGTCTGGGCGTGGGCTAATTGTAGTGTGCCCGGATTGTGAATATGGGGATTGAGAGTTCACGTCCCGTAACCGCAATAAAAAAAAACGCGTTCCGCACATTGGGATCATTGGTAAGTTGTAAGAGTGACTGTCAAGTTACAATATGCGGTCACACAAAAGTAGCTTAAAACTTAGCGGTGGATGCTGTCAACTAGCTAGCTGTCTTCCCTCCGATCTGTCTGTTAAAAATTAGGAACGACTCCGTACAGGTAGCTCCGTGTAAAGATTTGTGTGAAACCTCTGAAACACACTAGTGAAATAATGTTAGAAACCTATGGTGAGAAAAATACTCAGTTTTTATTGTACATATTGCTCTAGAAATGTCTTAGCTAACGAGTATTTTATTATGTAGTTTGTCAAGTTTCACAAAATATTCAAATTACGTATAATATATGTTAACGCCTACAATTGTTATTGTTTGTTTTTAATTCGTAACTTAATTTCGAAATACAGGGACCCTATCACCTTAGATTCATACTTTCTGATATTAGAACATCTATAATTTCCAGCCCGGCATGACCAGGTGATTAAGGCACCCGACTCGCAATCTGAGGGTCGCGGGTTCGAATCCCTGTCACACCAAACATGCTCGCCCTTTCATCCGTTGGGGCGTTATAATGTGACGGTCAATCCCACTATTCGTTGGTAAAAGAGTAGCCCAAGAGTTGGCGGTGGGTGGTGATGACTAGCTGCCTTCCACTGCTAAATTAGGGACGGCTAGCGCAGATAGCCCTCGTGTAGCTTTGCGCGAAATTCAAAACAAACATCTATAATTTCCAAATAACTTAAGTTCTATAAGGTTACAAAACTATTTGAAAAGTTTAAAAAAAAACTTCGTAAGAGCTTTATTGATTGATTTATTATATGAACAGGCTGTGGAGACGTTCTAGAAAATTTGTAATTCAATATAAAATTTTCAAATTTAGTTGTAATACTGGAAAAAAAAATCTTACTAGCCGCGGTCCGCTGAAGGGTCATAGGTCCTCCTTATCATTCACTAAGGTCCTCACGTGAGAATGAAGTTCCTTCATTATCCCCAATTACTACTATAACTATCCCAAGGGGGTCCATATCCGAAAAAAAAAACTCTATAGAACACCCGCCCATGACATTTGAGCACGTGTTTCGAGTTTGATTCCGCTAGCTTGTTGATGAGTGTATGAACACACTTTCAAAAATGACACCCTCGGGGTCCCGAAGAGGGCAAGGAAAACAAAATTTGATGCTCTTAGACTATCTTTATGTCTGGGTGGCCTTCCGAATCTTTCTCACCCCACGGCTTTCCATTGATGGGGGAGCTACACCATATAAAAATACACAACCCGAACTCACCCAAAGTTTGATCCTCTTAGTTTCAAAATTGGAGGAGGAGTTCGCGGACAAACAAATTCATTAATAAACTCGCACGTGAATTAATATAACCAACTTTAATAACGTCATTTATATCTTCGTCTTATACTAGACCGACATGATTAAATACACCATTAATTTCGTTTTCGTCATATACTTGTCCAAGACGATTAAATAAACCATTTATTTCGTCTTCGTCACTATTAAATGTAGCTTCTTTTTTTTCCCCCTTTTTTTCACCGGCATTATGAAATATTCCTTCTACTTCAACATCGTCATGTAAATGACAAAAAAAAAATATTTTGAAAGCTTTTGATGTCTGACATTAATACATTCCGACACATGTCATCGTATGATAGAACCGAGACCTCCAACATGTTCTTCCAAACATAGACTTCCTTTAGTTTCTTAGATACATCCTTGTTTTACCACCAGCGTATCGTGAACGTTGTTTTTGACAGGAGGTATTTGAGAGTGTGTGTGTGTATGACTGTATTTTTTTTATTTTTTTTAGATGTGGACGAGTGCCTGAAAGAAAACGCAAAATGTGATCATAAATGTGTAAACACTCGAGGCAGTTACACGTGCGAGTGTCATGCCGGATTTAACTTACAGTTAGACAAGAAGTCCTGCAAAAGTAAGGCCTCCATTTTTAATAAGTTCTTAAAAAAAAAAAAAAAGAGTAAGAAGAAAAACGCCATTATTCTACAGTATAATGAACTATGAGAATTTGTAAAATGGAATACAAGTTAAAAGGAAAACGAAGTAACTACTGAGATTTAACAGACTGAAGCAGAATTTAAACCCTTGATCCACCTGGTGACAAATATACAAAATATATTTATGAAAATAACGTTAATATCTAAAGCTTGGATACGTCTTCTGAAGCTAGTTCCAATAACAAAATTGTGTATACTCGTTTTTGTATTTTACTAAAATATGTTTTATCTTATGTTTGAATTAAACCTAATCTTAAAAATTTGATTATTCTGTAGGTAAACACTCTGAATTCTTATGGTAACGAATCTTGTCCTGTTTATTGAACATTCAAATATTTTGCGAGTCCCTGTGCTGTCCCTCCTGTTGGCTGAGCGATAAAGTTGAGGGTTTATAACACTAAGTTTAGGAGTTCGATCCCTGCGTTTGACATAGCCTAGCACAAAATCAGTGTTTTAGAATATACAATTTAAATTTTTTATCCCGAGAGCGTTAACGATATCACAAAAAAACAGACGGCACTCTAACTGTTTCAATGTTAACCACGTCAGCCCGTTCTACATCTTTTTGTTGAAAAACAAACAACTAAAAGCGGTCTCTGATTGCTTTAGATGTGTGAAGTTTCGACATAAAGAATTTACATATCATAACTTCTTGAGCCTCTCCGCTTGGAAGAAGAAAGTAAAGAGTGTGAGAATCTAACCAAAAGAACGTTAAGTTTTAATACTGTATAACCTTAAACAAATCCAGTCTCTACGTTGTTGTTTTTTATAAAGGTTGACGTTTTATCTATATAGATTCGGAAGACCAAACAGCTAAGTGTCTTAGTGAGCAATTTGCAACAGTCCGAGCCTATTGTTTGGCGCTTACGCTGCGAATCGAAGGGGTCGAGGCGCGAGACGTGATACAGTTCCGTATTTTCAGCTTGGGTGCGTCATAGAAGTAACAGCCAATCCAGTTATTCGATACAAAAAGCCTGTCAAAGCCCTTGAGGTAGTGGCTGCTGCTGTCTACCTAATCAGCAAATGAAAATTAGACGTTTTGTTTGTTTGGAATTCAGCACAAAGCTACACAATGGGTTATCTGTGCTCTGCCCACCACGGGTATCGAAACCCGGATTCTAGCGTTGTAAGTCCGCAGACATACCGCTGTACCACTGGGGGGCTAAAATTATAGGTGGCTATGCTTTGATCCTCCATGCCAATGAGCTTAGCCCCACGTATGTGCATAAGGTGTTGTTCAGATTTAAAATTCCAATTTCAACTCCTTAAATAAATGCTCAAGGCTAAAGTTCTCGTAATCTTGAGATTGTATTTAAAACAATAATCTCTTAAAGAGAAACTTAGAAATAAAATTGTCTTTATTTAGTGAATCTTCACGTTATCCCAGAATACCAGAAGTTTCTTCACGGTTATCAGGAATTGAACCAAAGAATTGTTATGTTAGAAAAGGTAAGGTTTGTTTTAATAGTAGTTCCACTTTTTGTTAGTAGCTTCCAACTTTTTTGTCAGAAGTATGTATGTATTACTTGACCTGCAACGTAACTATTCTTTCCTTTTTCTCTTTTTAATTCGCCATCTTTTGGATGATAATATATACTATACAGTATTAGTAATGAATAACAGAAGACGTTCTACAAACAAAACATTTAACTTTCTTTGCTTTCAGAGAGTGAGCTGCACACATTGTGTTTATAAAATATTTTTTTTAATAAAACCTAACAATCTATATAAATAATACACTTGCGTTTGTCTGTCCGGAACTTTTCTCGCAAATTTCTCGATCAAACGTTACAAAACTCGTATCGTTAGAAAGACCTTCGTCCGAGGAACAAAGATTGTATATTGACTTTACCATTCAGGATCATCTTACCTGGTTTTTGCTTAGTCAAACCTTTTAAAGCAGCAAGTATGCTACACCATGGCACAATGTCGTTGCCACAGGTGACAAATGGCTTGGATTTGAAGTTTATTTTTTTCTACAAAGTATTTCACAAAAACAACACTTAACCCTTGTGTAATTTCCTAAAAGAATATGAACATTACGCTAAATACAATTTCTATTGGCTTTTTCGACTTATTTAGGTATAAAATACGCATGCGCGATTCCTTCAAAACCATATGCTTATCACTTTGTGAACACGCATTCAGACGTTTCTGCATATTCAGCTAAGTTTGCCTTCGTTGCAACTTTACATTTACTTTATTTTGCAATAATTTAACTTCGGTTCGTTTCACAGACTGTTATAAACACCTTTTAGCTACTTTTTCTTTTCGTTTTTGAAGAATTTCTTTGTTTCAACTCATAAAACCGTGTCATACACTGAATGCTCATAACTGTTTCATATTCTATGCACTATTATAAATACCATTACTATACTTTACGTGTAATTTTATTAAATAAAGTTACGTCTATGTGAATTTGTTTGTTTGACCGCATAAAATGTTTTCAAATAGACCAGGATTTATCGATCTAACATAATACCTGCAAGAAAGCGTAGCTTAAATCATACGTTAAAATGATAGAATAAGGAAAATTTAAGAAAGGGCATGAAAACTACCGAAAATGTTTTGCGGGTCGCGGATATTAAGAATTATAGTTTTACCAACAGCTTCTTAATCTTGTTGCTAGGAGACTTTGCTAGTGATTAGTTTCTGTCTTAAAATATACATGTAGATTTAAATGTATACCTCCAAGTGGTTTAGCGCTAAGCCTAAAGGCTTATAACGCCAAAAAAATTGTGTTTCGATATTTTTGGTGGGCACAGAATTGCGCTTAACAACAAACACATGAATATTTAAATAACTGTTTCAATATAAACTAAACTTTTAAATCGAAAATGAGAACATCTCTCCTGAATCGGAATTTATCTTATAAAAACTGAAATGATATATAGTTTTTCAATACTGACAGACATCGTGGTGAAACCACAATAAGGATATATTACCGTAACGTTACCTACAGAATTTAAAACAATAATTTGTTTCCAGTGTTACCAGATATTTTACTGGGAGCCACCCTTCAGTAACTAGAACAGCATTTGATAAAACTTTATTGCGAAATTAATACTCTGTATAGATTGGGATTTCTAGAACTGAAACAAATTATTTCTGAATAAATACCTATTATTGAGTGACGTATTGTTTTTTTTTGTATTCTATATTAAACCTCCTACAATTATGTTTGTGTTGGAATAACAAAAAATGAAAACATTTTTTTAGTTTTTCACAGGCATCCAACGTAACAGTATACCGACAGTGTCCTAGAATTAAAAGAAAAAGAAATATTTATACCACTAATCTGCAGGGATAATTAATAATTTACTTCCCGATTGTATGGCCAGGTGGTTAAGGCACTCGACTCCCAATCTGAGGGTCGCGGGTTCGAGTCCCCGTCACACCAAACATGCT